GAAAGGGTGGGGGACAAAGTTTAATGGAACTTCACTCAGATCCGACCCAAAGGATATGGGTGAAGTGACATTGAACTTACTTATGGAGCTGAGCTCTTCTTGAGAAGCGTCAATTGTGCAGGCACTCAAGAATTTTCCAGTCTTTTGTAGAACCCGAAGGTTCATTACTATGTTCACAAGAGCTCTCCACTGGTCCCTGTCCTGAGCCAGATCAGTCCAATCCAATCTATACCATTCTATCTCACTAGGATACATTTTAATATTGTCCACCCACCTACACCTTGGTCTTCCCAGTAGTCTCTTTCCTTCTGGCGTTCCCACTAATATCTTATATGCAGTCCTTGCCNCACAATTCGAGGAAGATGAGATTGGCAGGGCATGTAGCACGAATGGGGAGGCGAGGAATGCATATAGGTTATTAGTGGGAACGCCAGAAGGAAAGAGAGACTGCAGTACAAGAGAGCTAAAAGTATTTATTGCTAGTAGCGGAAGAAAGCATTTTGAGGGGGCCGAGGGGGGAGCACTCAAAATAGTTGCTGAGGTAGCAGACCTTCTTACCGATTGTACTCTCGGCCCTGGAGGTCATTTTTGATTTAGTCCTGTAACCTGAACATAGATGGCAGCAGCGTTTCACCAAGGTTTCATGGCGGCCTTGTTGCCAACCAATAACATGGGAGTTAAACGGGGCTGGTTAGTATCGCCCGTATAGCCTGTTTCAGGTATACGTAGTAATCCATGAGTCCATGACGTCCATGAGCTCCATGAGGATACGGAAGTCTGCGACTTGCAGGTTGTGTCTGTGACTACTTTTTATATGAAGGCACGGAACAGTTTCCTTTTAGAAAGTAACTTTGATGTCCAAGTTATACTTAAGGGATACTTTAAATTATGGAATGAAATTGCTGTTATAGTGTCGCAGATAGTTACGTAACAAAGCTGACTTTTTTTTCAATTGAATGTTGGTGTGTGGTGGTGCAGTTAGTTCCTGTGTAATTCATACTAATGCACTTCGCTGTGAAATATGTTCTGACATTTCTTTTGGCCTGTGATGTGGACGGAAGGGGAATAAATGGAGGAGTTTCCTGTGCAGGTGATATCGCATATTTATTATGTTAATTAGGTGGCAAATGTGACGTGGGTTCATCAGGCTGCGGTGATAGTCCTCCACATAACCCAGAACGTGGAGTGTCATTTCTTGTCTTTGAGTCTTGTGTTCTAATAAGGTGGAATTTTTGGGGGGCATTACACACGTAATCTAATAGATGTCTGTCTTGTGGAATATAACGCAGTGTGGTCCTGTGAAAGTCGTAGTTTCTGGGGAAACTGCCATCTTCAGGGCCGAAGAGTAAGCCAAGCAAGAGGCCTGCATGAAACAGGCAATTGGCGTACAGTCGACGCAGAGGATGGAAGTGATGTGTTCCTTAGAAACATCTGTTGACTTGTGCTGAACTTTGTGGGCATTTTTCCAAGAAGGTAGAACTTTTCATAGCCATTGCTGTGAGAAACCCGAATCCAACATAAACCAATAGATTTTCGGTAGTATGCAGCTAATCACCAAACACACATGACAGGGAGGACCATTTTATTCTGCTGCCTTCTGTTGGAAGAAAATACCATTGTCTAGCAATCATGGAGCTAGACTGTTGATGTGTTCTGGCCTCATTTGTCCAGTAGATTGTTCAAAGCTCTTCCACAGTTCATTGATCCATGTGGTTTTTAATGTTATAATCATTTCAGAAGTCCATCTCTTTGCCTTCTGTTGACATGTATCCAGTTGTTCATATACTTTGACATTTTGTCCAGTATGGTTTCAGTTCTTAATACTTTTAATGTATCTTCATTTCTTTTATGGTCCATCCAAGTATATGCTATCTATGATTTCATAAATTGAAATTTGGCTACTGTAATTTTGTTCTTTCTTATCCAGTATGAATATATGTTCTTATTTTTGCCAGTGCAGGATTCAGAACGTTAATATAAATTTAGGCTCTGGAGGTCTTCTTATAGGTGGGGGGGGAGGAAATTCTTGCCTTACAAATGGAGCCTGCAGTATGGTGAATGGTGTTAGAGTCAGATTGATGCTGTAGTTTCACAGGACTTCATATAGGCAAGGGGTATGCATAAGCATCATAGCATGAATGCCAAAGAGGCTTGGAGATAAAGCTCCACACTTTCTTCAGAATGGTAGCAGTAGTAGGTAGCAAGTGTCCCTGCTTCATGATGCAGACACAAATCACAGGAGAAAGCGTTCCAAATATCCATTGGATAGGAGGCTGGGCAAGTAGACAGGATGGAGAAGAAATCATTTCCCCTTCCAGGAATTCAATTCCAGCCAACCATCACACTTACTATCCCATTTATCCTGGCTTCTGAGAAAGCAGATCATTAATGCTTTTCCTATATCCTTTCTAATTCACAACATTTTATTGTCTTTTATGATTTTTCATTTATCAGTTACACATGCTGGAAAATAAAATTTCCTCTCCAGCAAGCTTAAAATAATCAAAGAAAAATATTGAGTAATGGTGTTAGATTTTAATGATAAAAATAAGCATAACATCTGAGTTTTTTTTTTCCCCCCAGCTTGCACCATAGTTACAGGAATTGTTGGCCAGCTTGCACAAATTCATAATGAAACTATATTGGCTGCTTCTATGAGACTTTGTGAAGTGCTTCCATCTGCAGTTGAAGAGCATTGTATTAATGTCATTAAAACCTTGGAGCCGTTTCTCATAAATCCGTAAGATACTAGTTTTATTGACTTTATTATTCTCATGTAACAGATTGACCTTTCTGCAAGTTTAGCAACATAATCCCAACATTTTCACAGATGTAATTACTTTTATGTAACGTATAAGTTGACAGGCGTGAGACTTTGTTGTTGTTGAATTGTGTTTGGTTTGTTTTTTCATGGTCATTGGATGATAATGAAGACTTATTGATATTTTGTGATTGTATGTTACACTTATAAATTTTGTGGTGTGTCTTGAAGATATTTCTGACTGTATAATTATAGTAATAATTTATGACTGCTAAGATAGTCTTGGTGTTTTGTGTGTCAGCCATTGAAAGTGTCCTTGCTACATGAAGACTCAGATCAGAGTAACCACACATTACTGAGTAGACTGTACTTTTGTTCAAAAACCATAAAGATAACTGAAAATTTTAAAAGGTGTTTGATTTCATGGTAATTTTTAAGCCTGCAAAATATCTGTCCCAGATTGGCTGTTGAAACTGAATTGGCTCCACATTGGGGTTCTTGGAATATAGATCAGTGAAGGCTGCATGAATTCATGATTGGAAATATCACAGAAGATATCCCCACCAATCAGTACTGACAGTTACTTTTTTGACCATAAGTTAAGGACATAGTTGTATACTTAACTAGCATGTATCTCACATATATTATGTAATCTTGCAATGTGTTATTATTCTAAAAGTCTTTGATTTTGCCACACACAAACTATTCTTTTTAGTATGTGTTTAAAAAGTACTGTGTTACTTGTAAATTTATGACATAAAATTAACATTTTGAACTGTACAGGTTTTGGTTTTGTAGGAGTTTCAATAGTGTCATCGATATAGCAATTGGCTATGGGCAGGATGACAAAGAGTCCCAGTAGGGGTGGGGTCAAGAATTTTCTGCACTCCACGTCGTCCTGTTCAGCTCTGAGGTAAAGCGGCAGGGGCGCGAAGTTGACCACTCAACTCCAACTAGTGCTGAGTTTAAGAAAATGTGGATCTATACATTCACTCCCTCATATGCCTTTATGGCATAGTGCTTAGTTAATTAAGCATAAGGATAACTTTATGTACTTTACTTTTAGTTTTGGGCTTTGGTTTGTTAGATCCCATAATCAGTAGTTCTACTGCTGTTGCCATTGCAAAGTGTGTAGCAATATTATAGAAGAGATTAAAGAATTTTAATTCCAATTCCAAAAAAAATAGTTTACTGCAGATGACTGATACTGCATCTACACATAATATATCAGAATACAGTGATGATGTTTTCCAATAAATCAAGCAAGTCGTGATTAAGGAAACAAATACAGGATTATACCACATTAGGTCATTATTTCCAGTCCTGGTATCAGTCATATTGTTGCACCTTATTTCAGTCCAAATTCTTGTACATTTTACTGCTGAGGTTGATTGATTTGCAGTAGCAAATGTCTTTAATTTTATGTTTTAATAATTAAGTTAAACTATAATTCAGTAGTTGTAATCCCTATAAGGACACATCTAGATTCTTGCATAACATATTTTGCATTCAGTGTTCGACAAAATGAGTGTATAACTCCAGACATGCACATGTGTCAGAGTTTAAGTAATTGGGGTCATAGGTTGAGTAGCCATCATCATATAGAACCATCTCTCATTAACTCATTCAGACTTGACTGGAAATTCATCAGACTCTGTGCATACCAGCCATTGTGCCTAGGAGACAAGTCTGTGCAACTAAATTTTTTAACACACTTTGAAATACCAATATTTCAGCAAAATAAATTACTACATCAGAAGTTTCTCGCTGTAGGGATGTGTTAGATGAAAAATTAAGTCATAAATGTATTAAGGAAATTCTAGCCCAGAAACTAAGCATGCATAAATATGATATATTTTGTTTCAGGAAATTTTCAGAAATATTCACTCCTGATGTTTTCTGCTATGGCATCGATGTTTGCTATCTGGACCGTGGCCAAGGTTATTGCCACCTTTTTTCAAAACCAGTTACAAACTTCAGAAATACTGTGCAAGAAATGAAGGTATAATCTATTCTTTTAAATCTTATTTGTTATTTACATTCAAGGCCATAAATGTTGCTGACAGTAATGTGACTGAGTTGTGAACATTTATAATTTGATGCTACCTCAGTAAATATTTATGATTGATTATAAATTGATCCGGCTTCAATGAAATTTCCTTCATAAATTGATTTCACCGCTGATTGTGTGATGATGATTGTAGTGGACTAGTGGCACAGGAAGTGGGAAATCTGAACTAATTACCACTCATATACTTTAGCTTCCATTAATCTATTAAAGTGCAAGCTTATGTAAATGATATGTAAACACTGATTCTCACCATTAAGGAAACACTATATTTCCTTTATGTAGATAATATGTATCATGATCTGTAACATAGAAGTACATGCTGTTTTGAAAATATTAATTTACTGAATGTTAAACCAGTTAGTCTCTGTAGGTACCAATGCCTTGTAATGCTTTTTAACCCTATATAGATTATGTGGGAATAAAAGTAGGGTCTAAAGAACAAGGACTATAATGTCTTTACAGCATGAGCTTTGGTATTGTACCTTTTATTTTCATTTTACATATCAGATCTTTCTTTTATGTAAAGGGGATGAGTGTATCGTAAAATTCCATGTGTTATTAAATGAACCTGATACCATTTCTTGCTTCCTGTCTTTCAGGTATTCACTTTAGCCTGCAAAGAATGTCCTAACTATGTACAGCTTTCCATTTTGAACATTCACAGATGTACAGTTCAATATGTACTGATTTATTTAAATTAGATGCTAGTTTGACTATTTTTTCTCTATAATGAAGTGTGGAATAATTTTGTAGGGTAATTCATCTAACAGGAAGAAGCTATTTATATTATAAAAGAAAACTGTTAGAACCATGGCAGGTGACAAATCTAGAAATTCTTGTAGAGGTCTGTGTAAGAGATTAGAGATCTTATCACTTCCATGTGAATACATATTTTTGTTAATGAACTTTATTGTAAATAGCCAAGAATATTTTCAGAGTAATTCAATTGTGTGTAGTGTTAACATAAGGAACAAGCACCCTTCATAGACCAATTACCAGTCACTCATGTTTGCAGAAAAATGTATACTTCAATCATCTAGTCTTGAAAGGTGTATGAATGAAAAGGTGCAATTTAAAGTAACACTGAAACGATGCTTAAATACACTCTCATTCTACTCTGTTGATGAATTCCCATTATCAAAAAATGACTCATATTCTACTCAAAGGTTTTTATAAATAGCACAAGTGGAAGATATTATCATGTGTTAGAGTGACTGTAGACAGGGTTTTGAATTTGATATTGGATTTATTGACCATTTAACAGGTCATAACTACAAGAACTATAACACTACTGCTGAATTACACACCCCAAATATCACTGTAACTACAGCACACACAAAGTTTTCTCTGTCTTCACTAGACATTTCCTGGTAACGGCTTCAACAATGGCTATTCCTCTGCATCTGCGCTCAAGTCCTGCCTGAATGGCGGCTCTTTTCCAACTGAGTGAGCTTTAAACCTCACATCACTTATAACCCCTCAGCATAGACCACGTAGAAAACCCAGCTGTTCTACTGTTCTTCCAGTCATTTCCATGGGAACATGTTTGCCTGTGAAGGCATCACCCAGCAATAGCTGTGTGTATTTCCTTATTAAAAATCTGTTGCCAGGCAATGAATGTTGTTTCGTTTTCCACGTCAAGGTCGCCACCCAGCAGTGGCTGGACACACTATGGCATTGATCTATATGTGTGGATCTACTTGAAGCATCTTAATACCTTACATGAACCTACTGTGTTTTATATTTTCATTTTTATGTGAATACTTCAGTTGTACTGTACATATATGTTTTTTTTTTTTGTTTTTATGACATTCCACATCTTGTGGTCATTATTAAGTAGCTTTGAATCTTTGGAATATACAAGGGTGGTTCAAGATTAACCTTGATTTTGTTTTTTCCTGAATCATGGGCACCAGAAAAATAAAGCTCATTTATGAACAGTTGGTGGCAACACTGCACTCACTGACTGGCAAGTGGCCATATGCCCCTCTTCTGCACATTAGATCTAGTACAGGATATCGGTTGATTTTATCAATCATAATGTAAAACAGTGCTATATCAGCTATGCATGAGGTCAACATTTGCCACATCAGAGAGCTGATTTTGAGAATCAGGCAAATTACAGTGCACAATATTGGAGAGGCCTGCGTCACAATGATGTGCATCAAGCAGTTTGGAGGAAAAGAACTGGGAAATTGTCAAAAATTATCATCCTACTGTATGACAGTACTTCTCCGCATGTAGCAGTTTTGAAGAAGGCAACATTGGCAACAGTGGGGTGGGAAATCTTGAACTGTCCTCATTACAGCCTAACTTAGTGCCCAGTCATTTTCATTTGTTTGGACCAATGAAGATACACCTAGGAGGACAGAAATTTAAAACTGATAACAAATTAAAATGCTGTGTCCAGAACTGGCTACACAGTCTGGATAAAACCCTTTATGCTCTTGGCATCAGTAACTTACCAAGATGACAGAAAAATTAATTGATGTAAAGGGAGAATATGTTGAGTAGGAATGAGAGTTTGGAAGTTTTGGCATATATATATATTGTGACATGCTGCGCAACGGAGAAGCCCCCCCCCCTTCAGCAGTGATGCAGCGGGTGAGTCAGCGCTCTGTCACCCCCCCTCCGCACGGTGACGTAACGCGCAACGCGCAGTGACGTAAGACGGCGTGAGGTAACAGCGTTGATAGGCTATACGCAGACACTGTTACGTGGCAATGACGCTGTTGACGCGGGCAACAGGTAACAGCGAACGGAATATAAGCCGGCTGAGCAGCAAGCGAGAGCCAGTGTGTTATCAACAGTTCTCAAGGCAGCAGCCTGCGAGTAGAGTTGAAATGTGGCCGTCGCCGAGTTCAGTTGTCGCCGAGTTCAGTTTTCGTCGAGTTAACTTGTAGCCATCCCTGGAGAGAGTTAAAGTGTATCAGCGACTGAAGACAGTTCTCCAGTCAGCAGCCTACAGTTGGAATATAGCAGCGTTCGTGGAAAGAAGAACCGGACGTGTGTGTAGTTGTGTAATTTGGAGTGTGTGATACAGGGACACTTACATAGCTCCTGTACTGTAAACGTGTAGACTACTGAAGACAGAGTGAACTGATTTGTGAATAGGGTTATAAATCGTGAAACCCCGCAACGGTGTAAACAGATTATTGCGATTAGGGTTATAAAGTGTGAAACCCCGCAACTGTGTGATCATTAATTGTAGCCGTTACTTGTAGGTTGTTGAATAAACCAGTTAACAATCTCTACGGCCTCTTCAGTAACGAAACACATTACAACTGGTGTCAGAAGTGGGATTTGGACTTACACATGTGACCAACGAGATTCAAACTCAAAACACGTTGCATTGGTGTCAGAAGTGGGATTTGGACTTACACATGTCTCAACAAATAATTGAATTATTGTGCATTGAGTATTTTACTGCTACAAAATGGAGATGCAGCAGATGATGGAAATGCTGGCAAGGATGGACGCCAACATGAAAACCCATCAAGAAGAGATGAGGGCAAACCAAGTAAAAGCAGATGCCGACCAAGTGCGGATGGAAGACAGAATGGAAGACAATCGAAAGAAAGACGAAGATTTAATGGCCAAATTAGACTCCTATCAAGAAAGGGCGGAGATCAGCCACAAGGAACTCCTAGCCAGAATGGAGGATGACAGACACTCCTGGCGAGAAAAGACTTCCGCGGAGACGAGAGGAACCCAAGCAAGGGCGGTACAACAAGAAGAGGTCCCCATAGTATACCGGTCGGAGAGACGATGGCCTGCCAAGAAATGGAGGCACGTCCAGAAGATGAAAAGCCGGCCTCAGTGCACATGACACCTGAAGCGGCAGAACTACGAGAGGTACCCATACAAGACACCGAAGAAAAGGCGCAGGGGCCAAAACAAGCAACGAAATATGAAGAATTCGACACGGGAAAACTGTGGACCCTGGATGAAGTTGGATGCCACCTGCTGGAAGACATCCCGTCGCGCGACAGTGGCACGACGTTGGAGAATTGCCTACAAGAAGGAAATTCCCCTGGGAACCTTTGGATGCCAGCGGAAAGAAGTGACCACCACCGGAACAAAGATTACAGAGGAGAATAGATGTTGGAAGTATCCTCAATGCAACACTGGCATAAAGGACAGAGGTCTGAAACGGCGACTACAAGTCAGCAGCCAATTGAAGGACCCAACCAAGAATGCCATCGGAGAGTGTAGATCAGGACAGCGATCACACCTAGGAGGGAGACGTACTCGGAAGACTACTTTCTACAAGATTGTCGGCAGGAAGATCGCGAAGCAAATAGCCGGATATTCTGTCGGATTACGACACAGCAAGGAATGGACCTTATGGAGGGGTCGACCCCCTCCAAAATGGAAAGAGAGACTTAAAGCAGAGGAGGAACCGGTAATGTAGAAGAACCGGCCTCCCCAGAGAGAGTGAATGTGCCATGGGAGAAAGCGATGGATGAATGGGATACAACTGGATCTTCTGGCGAGCTGAAAGGAAACCGCTCGAGACGAGTTGGTCTTAAGAAGGGAGTGGTTGTAACGGCCAGAGAACAGATGCTGCAAGGACAGCCTCCGAAACAAAAGAATGAAGTGCATCATTAGGCTATTCGGGACGAACAGCCTTAAGGAGGGAGCAGTGTGACATGCTGCACAACGGAGAAGCCCCCCCCCCCTCCAGCAGTGACGCGGCGGGTGAGTCAGCCGCCCGCACCCCCCCCCTCCACACCGGGACGTAAGA